AAAAATTGACGTTTTATTCCGTTTTTTCAATCTCACGGCTTTGTTATTGCAAATTTTGTAATCGGACCACCGCCATTTTATAGCTATTTTTATTACGAACAAAATCATGTCCTAAGCATTTTTTCGTACAAAGTCATCCCGCTAGTTATTTAAAGAAAACTACTAAAAAAATTTTTTTACGATTAAATTAAATACTTTTTTTCCTGATAAAATACTTTGTCAGCAAATTAGCCTGTTATTGTATTGTTTAAAGTACGCCTGTGTAGTTATTTCCGGGTTATCAAGGTTTGACACAGGCCGAACCTCTACCAACTGGACTATTACATTTTACGAAGAGAAATATTTATACGAACGAATCCTGCTGTCTAAAGGTACCTAAAGATTTTACTACCCTTTCATTTCCCTCTACTCGTCACAAAATATCACGTCTGGTTACGTTTCGGGTTTCCTCCGGATAAGGGTCTGGTTTTAATTTACTATTACGCGAATATTAGCGGTGGTTGGTTTGGTTGTAAATTTTGCAACAAAGAATATTATATTTATTAATTTGCTTCTTTCAGAGGTCTGGTTATGACAACTGAAAATTAAAAATATTAAGCACTGCGTCTCCCAAATTTAGAACACAACGTTTTCCGATATCGTTTTCTAATGTTCTCGCTGTTTTATACATTCGAAGCACTAAATCCGCCTGACAGCACGTTACTAACTTGTGTTGGATAAGACTGTGAATTAAAAACCCTCGCTAGGAAACCGTAGGATAACCTATTCCTGCCGCATTATCTGTTCGAGCGTCTTCCGAGCAAATACAGCAGACTGACTGACAAATCCACTGTCGATTATTTTGCGCTGCTGAATGTACGGATGTCTTTGAAAGTTTTCGGATAATACTGCATTAATATTGTTATTGTTTCTAGTTTTTATCTTATCGTTTATTTATTGTAATTGAATAACCTATTAGAAACCGCTATTGGTCCAACGAATTTTTGGTTTCGTTTAACGCTTTAACATTTACACACGGTTCGATAAGCCATGTAACCATTAATTTTTGAGTATGCGTGAAGGAGCTTTAGCAAATGAAAGTACTTGTAAAATATTCATACAGTATAAATAAATGAAACAAATAAACACGGGGAAATTCCTAAATTCTAACAACTTCGGAAGCGCAAAGTGAAAATCGTCGGAAGACAAATAGGCTATTGAATATAGGATTTTAAAAGGAACTAATGACGTTCAAGATATTTTATTACATGAATCGTTCAAATGGTCATTTTACATGAAAAAACCACGGAGTGTTATTAAATTAGGGGGGTGGGGGAATTGGAGATAGGGGTGAAAATGCACCCCTTTCAGTTTTTTAACTGGAGCTCGAAAACGAAGCAAAATTTCGCTATAGTTCATAGGAAAAATTATTTAAATTTTTACTTTTTTGCCCTTAGTTTTTTTTTGAGTAAAGATAGATATATGTATTGCTTCATAGAAAAAAAGTAGATAAAATTTCCTTCAAAACAAGAGGTTGTAAAGTATTTTTGGATGAAAATTGAGTGATATATGGCCGCTCACTTTTCCAATTTTTCTATTTTCGTCGTGTTTACCCTTATACGTTTTAATTCTCATATTTTTGCAAAAAAGGAAGGAAATATGACGTTCAAGGATTTTCATCACATGACTAGTTCGAAGGCGTCATTAAAAATGAAAAAACCGCGGTGTGCTATTAAATTAGAGGGTTGAAATTGAAGATAGGGGTGAAAATGCACTTTTGCAGATTTTTAAATATAGCACGAAAACGAAGCAAAATTTCGGTATAGTTCATAGGAAAAAAAATTTGTAAAGAATTGAATTTCCCATCGAAATGACCTGTCTAAAAAATGTAAAAGAAACATTTTATGCAAGTTAATAAACAATTTTAAAGAAAGCAAAAAATAAGATTTTTTGATTTTTTTTACTTTTTTTAATAAAATAATTTATTAAAAACTTGAGAATTTAAGTACAATAAAGTTTATTAATAATGTATATACAGTGTGTCCACGGATGGAGTTGACAAAAGAAAAAATTTCAATTCTGACTTACTCTATATGTATAGCTACCTCAAAAACTGAAATTTTGATTTTAAAATTTGTATAGGATATTATTTGAGGTTATAAACAGATTTGTTGTATAAAATTGTTGTGTAAAATAATAAATAATTCATTTCTCTTGAGTATTTTCATGTTTTTTAATTTATGAGCACCCTGTATATCTAATCTAAGATGTTTGTATGACAGTCTCATTTTTTCGAGGGGCAGAACTTTTTATAAAGAGTGACATTTTTCGACAAAGTCAAAAACAAAAGGGTTTCTCCTCTTGTCAACTCCTTCCGTCGACACACTGTATATACATTATTAATAAACTTTATTGTAGTTAAATTCTCAAGTTTTTACTTTTATAAAAAAGTAAAAAAATAATCTTATTTTTTGCTTTCTTTAAAATGTTTATTAACGTTTTTTTTTGCATAAAATTTTCCTTTTAAATTTTTTAAATAAGCTATTTCGATGGGAAATTCAATTCTTTAAATAATTTTTGCTATGAACTATATAGCGAAATTGTGTTTCGTTTTCGAGTTACAGTTAAAAAACTGAAAGGGGTGCATTTTCACCCGTATCTCCAATTTCCAACCCCTAATTTAATAGCACTCCGTGGTTTTTTCATCTAAAATGACCCTTTGAACGATTCACGGTTCTGGTTAAATTCTTAAGAATGAATTTTTGATGTGTTTTTTCTACTTTAAGTTTTCTCAAAGAAAGCTAAAATAGAATTTTTCAAAAACAAGTATTGATGTAGACCTCGAAGGCCAGTCAAATTGTCGAAAATCCCTCGTTTTTTGCCAAAATTTAGTTCAGTAAACAAAGACACAGAAAAATTAGGAAAAATTCCGTAGAACTGAATGAACTACTTTACGCCAGCTGAATGTTAGGGCTTCGTTGTCAAAATGGCGTCCACAAGATTCGCACAACAGTTTTTTTTTTTTCATTAAAAATAAACCTTCCACATCTTTAAAAAGAAAACAGAATTTATTACTAAACTTCCAGAATATTTAGTCCTTGGCAAGTAGAATAAGTGCATGTTTGTAAAATTGCAAAATATTTGATAGTTTTTGCAAGAATTGAGCTTTTCGAAAAAAAAAACATTAATGCACTTACGTGGCCCATTTTGGGCGTAAAAATTTTTTCTAAGAAATGTAATTTCCTGTGCAAATTGTGCGCGTTTTGCAAAATAATTGGAAACTGAATATTTTGAATCGAAATAAAACGATCGCCTTTGATTTTGTAACCGTTCCTCTAAGCGTGCGTTTGATACAAGTAATCTACCAATGGTCGGTGGTTAGGAATTTCAGCTACTTGGGAAACTCGAGGCCAGACTGCGGCTTAACATTAATAGATTATGAATTAGGGGTGAACTTTGGGCGCCCCACTACGGTCTGCACGAAATACTTGGTAATCTTTATATGTCCGTCGCCTTGCGTTGATGTTAACGACTAAGGTGAACGTATCAGAATTTTTCACATACATAGCTCCATATTTAATAAAATCACTGCCCCCAAACAGTAACCATGTAGTTAGCACAATCTATTTATCGTATTGGATGTTTAATTAAAGTCCCAAATAACGGATCGCACTGTTGGGGCTAAGTGCATTGGGATGTTGTTCATTAGAAGTGCCAAGTCCAAGGGAAACCCTGGTAAAGGTTAAACTTAATACGTAAATGGGACTGGCAGTTGTATTAAGTCTGGTTCCAAATAAGAACACATACAAACTGCATTGTTTTGCCATCAAAAGTTTATTAATCTTTGCCAAGATCCATAGTCTATTAGAAGGTAATTTGTTGTTTTATTATATCTTTGTCGTGCTTTCGGGAAGTGGCGTAGGAATATCAAAAAAGCTAAATGGGAAACAATTTATACACAGGTGTTTGACAAATAGAGCCGTTCGTTTTAGACCGGTTAAAGGAACTCGAACCACGCGGGCAAAGGTATTTGAAATATTGGGGAATGTCGTATAGTTATGATTCCCATCAAACGCAGAGGAAAGATGTTTTAAAAAAAACTCGACCGAATAATACCAATTTTCGTTTGAATATTTCGCGTTTCATGTCTGTTAACGCAACCACAACGCTGATTTTAAAAAGATCGTGAGTTTGACATACATTTATTTCTCATTCAACTTTAAGGTTAAAATTACTGAATGATTGAACATATTTACCAGTTCTTACAATGTATATGATATATTCGAAGAAAAATATGTATTTTTAGTTATACACGGACTGTTGAAGTGCACCCTTGTGGAGATAAGCATCGCTATCAATGGAATGCATTAATAACATCAACAACAAAAAAAAAGTGTGACAAACGATATACCTATGTTAATTTCGGTACTCCGGGAAATTTCGCACTTATCACATTTATTCGTGTTTATCAAAGAAGCATACATATGGATTGTGCCTGACTGTATGGCTTAATTATTATTCTCCTGTGAAATATTTTGCAAAAAAATGTAAAAAAAATAGTTGAAAATGGCAAAAAATCATATTAATGAGTGAAAAAAATTAGAAAACGATATTCTAAATTGGATCAAGTATTCCTCTCATAAATTTAGTTGAGTCGAATTTGAATCTAAAGTCTGTTAAGCCTCGTTACCCAAAAATTTGCAAAAATAGCAAAGTATCGCAAAAAAATGCAAATCGTGAATCCCAAAAAATCTTGAATAAATGTCATGGATGTGAATATATAAAAACTTATATTTCATTTTGTAGGGCATTATTTGATTTCAAATTTCTCGATAACCTGTCCCAAAATTTTACCTAACAGCGCAAACCGATTATATTCCTTAAAATACCGACAAGAAAAACCATTCTTAAAAATAAGTCTGCATTTCCCGATACCCCCAATAACAAACAATATATAAAAAACTAAATTTTCCGTAACTTCGCTCCACTTCCCACATTTGAGGGAACCCGAAGGCACTTACCTCATTTCTTTATCGCATTTATTCCCCGCCAGGATCATCGGCACCCTCGGCATGGTCTTCTTCCTTGTCAGTCCGCCGCTGTTCGAGGCCCCGGCATTTACTTTAGTTTCTATTATTTGCTCCCGTAATCTTATTGCTTCTTCAAAAGTCTCCCTGCTGTCCATGCTGAATACAATTACGAACAGGTCCCCTGCAACAAAACACAATTTAAGCGGTTTATAACATCCGGAATTATATGTACGGAGCGAGATTAGCATTTTGGCGATACCTACAAAAAAACAACGCATTTTATCGAAGTCGAACGAGAGTACGTTTTTAATGTGAAAAGCATTAGATTTTTAATTTTTGTGGTCTAATTATAAAAATAATTCCTACCGATAAAGTTAGGGCTAAAAATATCCTAAGGTGGTCCTGTTTAACATACTCCTGAATAAAATTGACACATTTCGTGTACATTTTCTAATTCAGCATAAAAAGTTGATTAAGTGTTCAAAATTTCATTCCTTTACCTCGAACCGTTTCGATAATATTGAACAAAAGTTATCTTCAGATCCTCTTTAAGGAGGTTTATCGGGTTCACTAAAATGCACAGATGTACTTGAAATTTATATAGCGTATTATTTAGTGCTCCCTCCGTGCGTCATATTTTTTGAATTTTTTTTGAATCTAGATTTTGAGATATTGTTTTTGAAAGTTGTTCATTTTGACATAGGTCTATATGGCGAAGATGGACGGTGCGGCTCTTTTTTTGCCCATAACTTGAAAAAAAATGTAGAAATTGTGAAACAAAACTTTTCCATAGACAGTACACAGCATTATCTTATTTTTGATGTAAAACTAATGTAAGTTTTGAACATAGTACAGCTGTATTAATTAGAAACAGAAACCAATAATTGCATTTCTGTCTGACTTGAGGATTAATGTGGCAACGTGACAATCAGCTGACAGCAAGGAGGGAATACATTTGAAAGACTTGATAAAAACGAAATTGATTTCAAACATATATACATTTTTCCTAAATCACATGTACATTTTTTGTAATGTTTTTAAAAAACTAAATTAATTAAAAAAGGCTAGGAAACTGTGATATATTTATTGGAATAAAAAATACAGTTGATAAATGCTTTTAATATATCTAGTGGTTTATAAAAACATCGTAATCCGTACCCAGAAATATTTAGGGTTACATAAAGATTTATTTACTTGATTAATATAATTAGTAATACTTGAGATAAAAGCATTTGTAAAACACGAACAGTGAGTAATTATGTAATTTCTATCACAGAATATTTAAAATTGCATCCAACAATTTCTTTGACTTGGACGAGATGGGCGCGAGGCGCGAGTGTCATTTCATTTTTTTAGAACTAAATTAACATAATTATTTTCTCGTTGTTTTACCAGTTCACATGATTACGGATTTTAAATAAAGGATACAAATTTTTGCGAGGATAGTACGATATATTTGCTATATTATATAATAATTATATTTTACATAGTTTACACACAATACATATTTGAACGCGTTCGCATCTTTACCCGAATTTGACGCGCAATATCTCCGATGTGCGAGGTCTGTAGGTTCGCAGTGTGTACAACTGCACTCGATTATTAGCGCTGTTGCCACATCTACATAGTGTTTATGCGTTCATTAAATATAATTTAAAACTACTTAAATATATTTTTATGTTGTTAATTTTTCAATATGTATGTTATGTGCATATTGAGTATGTTTATTTGCTATATAGATAATGTTTATCGCAAATAATTTCAGTAGAATTTAATTTTTTCAAGTTGGTAACGGGTTTTTGTCCCATAATAAATGCATAGGACCCCTCCTGCGCTCCTCCCTTCCCTCGGACCCCGTTGCTATGACTTTTGACATATTATAATGTTATGATGCTTTTGAAGGATTCTGAAGCTGATTCCACTCACAGATCTCGAAAGGAAAAAAAACAAATTACTCTACTTTACATCGCCTTCCAAATCCAAAATGTGACATTGTTCTTTTTTCGCTCTTCCATAAACTGTAACGCGAACCCGAAGTCATTTATTAGATTTATTGACGTGAATTCGATGAATACCCGACATGAATTTGTTGGATATATTGGCAATAAAAACCAATTTGTTCTTTCGTAATACCGAAATTCGTGATATATACGGACTTTCTATACTAATTACTAATCTCAACTTCTGTTTTCCTGCTACGCGAATTAGAAATATTGATCGGTGTGCACTGTACAAGAGTAGTAATTAATCCCTAAGTTGGATAACTAAGTAATCTTTAAAAACGATTTATTTCGACTGCACAGGAAAACCCGTAGAAAACTTTTTGCTGCAGATCGGGATCGTGTTGCACTATTTGTTTTTAATTAACGGTGTATTTTTTACGAATTGTTTGTTTGTGTTAGTCATTTATTCTGGAATAAATTTCATTTTACAATAAAATTGTGTTCACTAATTTTTACAAGGGCTGTTGTGATACGAAATTTTTGATTTACCATGATAAAACTACACTATTTTTTTTTAAATATTCCAATGGTACATGAAATATACACTTCAAAAGTACATATTTGTTTAGGTTTTTGTCTCGGTGTACGCCATAGAACTCGCTCGAATTCGGGTTTAAAATAATACCCTCCTTAAATTATCCCAAGCTTAGTCAAAACCTTTGACAACGTAAAGTTCGTTTCGTACTACGAATTGGGGGAGTTGGCACAAAATTTAACTTCTCGACAAACGATATTTATTTATTCATCGTGAATACAGGATCCAAGGGTTTAAGCTTCTTACATTTAGCAGTACAATTATTTTCTTCAGACCTCTGAGTGTGGAATCAATTTGTTGGTGTTGAATTGGTAATGGCTTGAAGCTATGAAGGTCTATTTAAAAACATTGGATGTTTCACTTTTTCACTATTACTTGTGTTATTTTTATTATTATTTGCTAGGATCTCTCAAGTTCTAAAAAAAATATTATTATGTACTATGTAGGTAACTTTAATTTAACTATGTACCTACATTTTACTATGGTCAAGCCTAAAGTATTTTTTTTATTTAGATTATATCGCTTATAGTGTTCCAGCGCTTGGCAGTCTGGATAAATTTCACAATACAGATGCAATAGGGTCTCCAAAATACAGTCTAGCGTTTCGCTATGCGGACATAGCGGGATAAGATGTTGCGTGGCAACAGATGCTGTCACAGGCCCCAACATGTGCGCCCCAGAGCGTGGCCCTTTCATGACCTGCCCCGAACACCTCTGCCGTTTACCGGGGGTGTTAATTTTCGATAAAATGCGAAGTTTACAATTTCACCCGATATGGGCATTCCAGGAGCTCTCAGAGGAAACCGGGATGAGGATAAAGCGTCCGTTTCTATTTTTCCAGTCCCATCGGTTTTTATTTGTGGAAAAATAACGAGCGTTCAAATAAAAACGTGGTTAAGTTGGTTCTGAAAATTTGGACGTAGGGCGTAGCGTATAGCAAATGAACTTAAACGTCATCTGTCAAAGCGCTATATCGCCGCTATCAATTTGAATATTTTCGTTTTAAAAAGCGTTTAAAATGGTGTTTTCTCAAGAACAAAAAGTGTTTATCATAGAGTCCTACTTTAGAAATGGACGCAAGATTGATGGAATATGGAAGTATTCTATTGATGAATGTTTCATAGAATTTCAAAATCAATTTCCCGGCGTTGTTGAGTACAAAATTTTTCAAAGTGCAGTTCAGCGTTGTGTTAATGTTTTTCGTGAAACGGGCAGTGTAACAAGAAAAGAAGGAAGAGGCCGACCTAAAAAAGCGGACTGAAGAATTAAAAGAAAATGTCCAACAAATAATGGAAAATGCGCCAAGAACTTCTGTACGTGTTTTATCACAAATGGTGGGAGTATCAGTCGGTACCTATCACACAGTGTTAAAAAAAGAATTGCTTTTGTTCTCCTATCGTTTAACTTGTTAGCAAGAACTTCATGAAGTTGATTTTCCGCGACGGGCTGTATTTTGTGAATGGTTTTTAAACAATTACGGTGAACTTCATAATATCACCTTTTTTTCTGATGAAGCCTGGTTTCATTTCACTTTCCGCAGCTCCTTTAATTGTTTGTTATTGTTATCACGATTATTCTTTAAAATAAAGTTATATAGTCATTAACGTTATTGAAACTGACAGCTGCTATACAGCTCGTTGAGAAATGAGGTTAAGTTGGTCGCTATAAGCTACTCCCTACGTCCAATGTGTCAGAGCCAACTTCGACCACGTTTTTATTTGAACGCTCGTTCAAATCGTTTATTATGTTCAATAAAATATTATGTAGTTTTGTTTAAAATCTCCCGTTGGAGAGATTTTGATCTCGTGTATGGAAGCTTTTGGAAAAAAATTGGAGCGTACTATTAACACTATCGAGCTCTTTAAAAGGTTATCGAATCCATTTGAAAACATTTGAATTTCGTCCAATCTTTTAATCGCAATTATTGTGGTCAACTTGCCTGACTTTTTGATATATTACTTTATTTTTCTTTCAAACTACTCTAAAAAGTATATACTTACTTTTAAGGAAAAAATATATTTTTTAATGTCACTTACTGTTATTATAATACTTCAAACTAACTTATACAAAAAATTCAGGCAAATTCAAGAAAATTTAATCATTTACCTGGGCTATGAAAATGAAACGAGGTCGGGTTTCTACAAAATACATTTTACAAATGCTAGCCCAACGCTTCGTATTTTAATTAACTATTTAATTACCTTAATTAATTCAAGCCGAACATATTTTCAACCATAATCCAACAGTTAACTTTAATTTAAATAAAAAATTGGTAAACTATTTTTTATTTACTATACCTACATATTCATATTTTTCTATAATTAAAAAATAGTTCATTTAACAAATCTAAAAGGTACTAGGGCCCCCAACGTTACAATTTTTATATACTGTACAGTTTCAGACAAAGGTATTAAATATTCCTTCGAGAATTAGAAAGAAGTTTCCTGCGAGGTAAAATTTATTTTCTCGCACACTTACCTAGGGATGAAATGTAAATAACAGTGTTACCGACAGATTCTTAAATATTCTGTTTCACAGTCAGTCCGGACTATAAAGTCTGATAACAGTTTACGGCCTTATTCAACTTTTATGACCCAGTCAGTAGTATCTGTCGCTGCAAAGCAACACACACACACTGACTTT